GCTGCCATCTGTGTTATACCAGATCTCAGCAATCTCAGCATTCTACTGTTTGCTACATCTAGCCACAATATTCTAGATTTGCTTCTGATTTCATAATGACAAAACTCAGAACAGAAATTGGATATTGAAAATCAGCTAGAATGGAATGGAGCAACAGAAATTACAGAGCAATTTATTTCATTCATAAATAGCATATTTTCAATTCCATGCATATCTCTGTCCAGCAGTAATATATTGAAAACAGGCTTTCCAACCCTGAATCTGTCAAGCCCCTGGGCTTGACACGAACCGGTGGGGGGGGGCAGGAAAGCAGCAGCCAGCGGCCAGCCAAGGTCCGGACGCCGTTCTGGGGTGCCGCCTGACTCCCGAAGACCAGCTGGGAGTCGGCAAGCCGGCCAGACACCACCCAGCTCCCGTGGATCAGCTGGGAGCCGGTGAGGCCGCTGTGCACCGCGGCTGCCTCCCTCCGTTGCTGCAGACTCCGGTGACACCCGTGGAACAGCTGGGAGCCGGGCCGCCTCCCTCCATTGCCGCAGACTCGGGGACATCCCTACCGCCAGCTGGGCATCGGAGGCAGGCCTGCCGGACGCCAGGGGATTCACTGCTTGCCACAGCCACTCCTTGTCTGCACCAGAGATGCAGGGGAATCCCCAGAAAGCAACTGGGTGTTGGATGGATGCCAGGCAGGACAGCTGGGGCTGTGGAGGTTGCGCTGATGCATCTGAAGGGGGGCATGGCGGAACTTGAGCTAAGGCTTTTATCCGTACGAACCGGATGCTGGCTTGCTGATTGGGGTGGGGCTGGAGGGCGGGGCACGTTTATATAAGGCACTGGGAGCAATTTACTCCCAGTGCTGACTTTTTCTTTGCATTAAAGTTTGCTGGTCACCTGTTCCTTCTGTGTCTGGACTTTTTTCGGCAGCTAGCAGAGGACAGCTGACAGAATCAAGTTCAAAATGAACAGTGTTTATTATTTACTGACATTTAATATAACCTTCAAATTTAGGATCTGGCAATAGAAATTGTTTGCAAGAGAATGTTGTAATAGTTCAATGCTTTTTTTCTACTAAAATGACCAGTCTTTGTTCTTTACTTTGTTCTTTGTTATTTACTTCTGACTGTCACTTTAAAAACTTAGGCCATGCTTTCCTCTTCCTGTCCAAAGCTGAGACCATGGGTAATTATTACTCTACAGACTGTCTATCTACAGAAGTACACTTTTTTTCAAAAACACTGCACTCACCCCTATCAATTGAATATGTAGACAATGACAGTAACAACAACCTTACTACTACTACTATCACACCTGCCCCTCTATCTTTATCCAAATATTGGTTGGCCTTAGACCCATCATGCCTATCCTGTGGAAGCATCCATATTGGAAAACACGTTAAAACAAATATGCCAGCGGTCTTATTCCTGAGCAACTCCTTCAAAGAGATGATTCTCTTTTAGGGCACTGCTCTTACCAGTCAGACTTAATCCAAGGCTTTTCTCAAGATAGTCAATGTCTAGATGCTAATATTTTCTAGGCCATCAACTAGAATGCAGCTGCCAATGAAAAATAGCATCTAGGACTAGGACAGATAAAGGAGTAGGAAGTTAATGATACATTTATATAGTACATCTCCCACCACTTCTCACTTCCCATATCTGGATTATTTATCAAACCAGCCTCTTCCGCCTGGTCAAACACTAGCTAAATCCTCCAGCCAGAGCTTAAGAATTACAAGAGGGTATTAAAAAGGTAACTAGAGAGATACTCTAGTTGAAGCAACATATCACAGAATTTCTCAGAGAAAATCTCAATCAGGAAATCCCATGCTTAAAATTTTTCTTCTTGCTGACTTGGGTCTCATGTGTCTGTCTGTTGATGAAAATCTATGTCCTGACACAGATGGTATGTACACTTCTCAATCTTAATAGACTGCTTGACCTGGATTGCCTTTCATTAAAGAACATAATTTTTCCCAGTCTTTCCCTCACCCCTTCTCCTTTTCTTTCTCCATCTGTTCAGAAGGAAAAATAAAGACAGAGGATACTAAAATGTTCTGTGATATTTTTATACTCTTCTATACCAATTTTGTGGTCACAAAGCACAGCTGAGAACTTATTAACCAATTAAAATGGAAACAAAGCAAACCCCTTAGAAATACTCTGAGTATGATCTCTCAGGAAACTGTAATTGCAGCTGTGATAAACCATTAGGTTAGTAATCATGGAACTGTGTCTCTTGTGTCAATGGTGTTTGCTTCCAGCTAAACATGAAGTTAGTAATGAAGCCATATTTACAATTTGAAGCTAATCTCACTTTAAGTTGGGTGTTACGTGACAGATGATAATAAAAACATTTTTTTTACCTAAGTTATGTTGATAAACTGATAGACATTGTATAAATGGAACTGCATCTACATGGAGGGACGTGTGTAGTAGGGTGCCTCCAGGCTCTCTTCTGGGACGAGGGGATAGATGGGGAACTCATCAAATTTCCAGATACCAAGCTGGCAGGAATAGCCAACACTCCAGAAGGCAGGCTTAAGATCCCGGAGGATCTTGACAGATTTGAACATTGGGCACTATCTAACAAAATAAAATTCAGTGGTGAAAAAAGTAAGGTTCTACATTGAGGCAAGAAAAACCAAACACACAGATATAGTATAGGTGGTACCTTGCTCAATAATAGTAACTGTGAGAGGAATCTCAGAGTCCTAGTGGACAATTACTTAAATATGAGCCAGCAGTATGCTGCAGCTGCTAAAAAAGCCAACACAGTGCTAGGCTGCATTAACAGAGGGATAGAATTAAGATCACATAAAATGTTAATACTACTTTACAATGCCTTGGTAAGACCACACTTGGAATACTGCATCCTGTTTTGGTCACCACGATGTAAAGAAGATGTTGAGACTCTAAAAAGAGTACAGAGAAGAGCAACAAAGATGATTAGGGGACTGGAGACTAAAACATATAAGGAACTGTTGCTGAAATTGGGTATGTTTAGTTTAATGAAGAGAAGAGGTGACATGATATCAGTGTTCCAATATCTCAGGGGCTGCCATAAAGAAGAGGGAGTTAAGCTATTTTCCAAAGCACCTGAAGGCAGGACAAGAAGCAACGGATGGAAACGGATGGTATAGGGTTTCCTACCTATGCAGGGGGGGGTGGACTAGATGACCTCCAAGGCCCCTTCCAACTTATTATTATTGTTGTTATTGTTATCTGTGTCAAGTTATAACGTCATAAATCCTAGCCAAATCATATTTAGATTACTGAAAAATGAACTTTCTGTGAACAATTTCCATTAAATGTAAATGGTCCAAAATATACTAGTTAGTCTTTCATTAACAGGCAACAAAAGATTCACAGTTCCAATGAGCCAATTATGTTGAGTTCCTATTTGTTTCTGACACACTTTCAAAATAATTATGTTTTATTATGACAAAGGTACTTGGAATATGATATTCTATTATGTGAACCTCATTAAATTTCTTCATAACTAAAGTATATTTAGTTAGGATCAAAAAGAAGGCTGATCAATTCTCCATATAAAAATATTAGTTCTTGGTTTTCCTATTTTGTTGAATAAATTTCTTGAAGAACCCTCATTTCTCTGTAACCACTATCTCTGTTAAAATATTTTTCAGCAGAGATCTTTCAGACTGAAAGACTTGTTCCTTCTTACTTCTGCTCCGTTCAGCTGTAAATTGCCATATTCCATAAGCCAAAAACCAATTATCAGCAATATGATTTTACCTTACATAATATTTTTGACCATAAACAAGTTGTTAATATTATAAGAAGAGAAACAGTGTAACAGTCATGGCTGTTCAATTCCCATTACATTTTAGCAAAGCTGGATTTCTGACTAACCTGGTTAATTAAAACCTAATTCAGGATTAATTAAGAATATTTGTATTACAAAAGAAATGTAAATAAGGTAATGTTTCTGTACAACATCCAAAAAAGAAAAGGAAGATGTGGAGGAGAAATAAATGATACAAGAAAAATGCATTACTTTAATCTCTGAAAATAACTTCTAGTGGAAGGTATATTTTTACAGCTTTTACAAATTATGTATAGAATCTCATAATAAACTAGAATAAGAAATGTTTGCCAAGATTTCACTGAAAGTCGTGTCTGGATAGCCAGGTGGTATGCATTCTACTAATTGCTCTTCTTGGCACCTCCCACTCTAGTTCTTTCTGTGATCTATTTACTGCTTACTATCATACAGTAATATCCAAGTTTTTGTCTCCTAGTATCTTAACATTACAAATATTTTTTGATGACTTAGACTCAAATATCAGCTAAAGTGTTCCATACTGTTTCAGCTAAAGAGTTCCATACTGTTTCAGCTCTATGATGCCTTGTAAAGAGTCTGAAGTTTCTATAAGGCATTCCATGCCATCATTATTGAACATGAAACATACTGGTTCAGACATCATTCTTAGCTCCCAGGTTCATAACTGTGCGAAGCTAGAGCCAGAATGAAAGATTGCCTTACTTAAAGTTAACTCTGGAAATTTCTGATGTTTCGTATTCTGAAAGTTCTACTGCAATTTGGATAGGAGATGATGAGTTATTTTTATATGTATACATGTACCCGTGCATGTATGTTCTTTTGTATAAACATGAATTATTCAAATATTTTTAAAAAGTTGCTTTGAGGAATGTGTTACCATCAGTAAAATGTCTCATTAAAGCATTCAAATTAGCCATATACTTCAGAAGGCTCACTCAGTTGTCTGCATTAGTATATGCATAAAATACTATTTCAGGCTATTAAGCTGTTCTATTGAAAAAGCTGCCTACGCATACAAAAGCACACACAATTAATTCATCAAAGCAGTAGCACACGTTTTTCATAAGAAGTGACTATTAAAGCACTTTGAAAAGAGTGTTTCACTTTGAAAAATCAACTTTTTGAGTGTTCTACATAGGCTTAATATATGTGTTCATTAGTTAGAAATCTGTTATTCACATTTGGAAATAAATACTCACAAGGAAGGATCCTGGATGAGGTCTTTAAGGTTTATCCCACTGCGATCTTCTGCAAGGTTTCTGAAGCAACTGTCACTCACTAACAAGAAAGTAATAAAGAGAAATATAAGAAATCAAAAGAAATAAGTTTCCTGGCAAAATGTTAGCAAAGCGCCTCAGGGTTCAAATACTGCAATATAGTTTTATTTTAAGTTTTCAATAGATTTGCAGATAAGATTATTAAAAAAAACCCAATTTCATGTCTAAAAACTGAGTAGTAAGAATAATTAGTTATCAATAGTTAAATGCTCCAAGTTTAATCCCCCCACCCCAAAAAAGCCCACATTACATTGTTTCACTTCTGAACCCAATCACACAGTTTCCTCAGTCATTAATTAGAAGACTACAAGTATGACAGTGATTGATCTGTTTTCTTTTTATAAAACAACCAGCAAAAAAAGGCTTTAATGGTAAAATATATTCTGGGGAAAATGTTACAAAATAATATTTAGTGGAGATGAATTTGTGCATTGTATTATTTTGTCACTGAATTATTAATAAATCAATGACACTTAATTATTTTTAAATAAGTGAAACAAATTACAATGCAATACAGTCTGAATTTAACTCTTTGCAAAGACTAAATGCTAATCTATTGCAGTATGCTAATTATTTATGCTGCTTTGTTAAACTTCATTGGATGCTCCATCTGAAAAAGATATATATAGTTTCTAGGATTAATAACTAACAGACTATTTAGAATCTGCAAAAGACAGAAAAGTTAAACTAATGTACTAGCTCCATGAAAGATAAGATTACATTTCAAAATGACCTAAATTAATTCCTGAAAATAAGGTAAATTGTGTGGTAGCTAACATAACTGAAATTTTTTAGCAATTCTAGCCAATTACAGAAATCTTAAAATAGGAAGCACTCTATTCAGTGCTTACATAAACTGAAATGAGTATTTTATCCAGATTCCATTACAAAAAGATGCTGCCAACATTTACAGAAATTATTATTTAGGCTTAGGTTTTACATTCCAAATTACACATAAAACCAACTAATATAACTGAATACTTTTATTAAAATGAAACGTAAGATATACATCAGAGAGAAATTTACACTAAAATCTTCAGGCAGCAGAAAACATCCAGATATTTTAATCCATTATATAGTTTTTACATTTACAGATAGTCCTCAATTTATGACAATTGAGCCCAAAATTTCTGTTGCTAATCAAGATAATTGTTAAGGGAGTTTTGCCCATTTTACAGCCTTTCTTGCCACAGAATCGCTGTTGTTAAGTGAATCACTGCAGTTGTTAAGTTAGTAACATGGTTGTTAAGTGAATCTGGCTTCTGACTTTACTTGTCAGAAGGTTGCAAAAGTTGATTCCATGATCCCGGGACACTGGAACCGTCATAAATATATGCCAGTTGCCAAGCATCTGACTTTTGATCACATGACTATGCGGATGCTGCAATAGTTATAAGTGTGAAAAATTATCATAAGTCAATTTTTTTCAGTGCCATTGTAACATCTAACAGTCACTAAATGAATGGTTGTAAGTTGTGAGTTACCTGTAACCATTTCTCCATCAGGATGGATGTAGACTCCACTGATTGGGTAATTTAATCCCACCTGCTCAGACTAAGACCAAAAAAAACTCTGCCACGCCTCCTTCTGGGTGTGACTTCCCAGTTTTTGTCTTAGTCTCGTGCTCAGCAAGACGCTTTTCAGAAGGCTCCTAGCTAAGTTTGATTCTTTCCTTTTTTCTTTTAGGCTATTCAAATTAAAATTGGATACTTTAAATTCAAATTGATTAACAATTATATTAATTCGGCTTCACTTCCAAATTAAGAGGATTGCGTTGGGGGGGATAGGGACTCTGTCCTCCCTCCCCTGCAGCCCTTTGGGCTTTGAAAAGGAGGCTGCAGGCTTCGTTCGCTAGGGAGCTCCCGTTCCGACGATCTGTAGCCTCTTTGCGATTCCGCCAATTCAGCTGGGTAGCGGAGGTCGGCTTTTCAACTCGAGACCTCCTGAGTGATTTACTTGCCTCGAGGCCTTGAGGGAGAATTCCTGACTGCAGCTTTATCTGGATCGCAGCAGGGGCTGCGCTACTAATCGCAAGTGCTTGGGGACTGGGGGAGGAATCCCAAATCAGCCTTGTAGTCCCCTGCTGTGTAATTGATTCTCCTGTTTAAAATACGACAGGGTTTTGCTTCTCCAGGCCTTAAGGCCTGGCGGCCGCCATTTTGACCGCATGGTCTAGCGCGGCTGCTTCTAGAGGTCCCTCGTGGCGGACGCCATTTTGGAGGCCTAATTGAAATTTTTGCATAATCATTGGCAGTTATTCCTGCATTATTGCGGACGCATAGTTGTTGCCTGTGTCACTTGGTCTGTGAGCAGACCTGTTCAGGGGGGAAGATATTTTTGTATCCACAGGAGTTGTGGTCAAACTTGAGGGGGCTACTCCAGGTGTGGGCCTTGGCTGCATTTGAGCAGACCAAGGTGTTATTAACTGGTCCTAAGGCCTAGAAGAGAAGAGCGAAGAGATTCTTTTATTGTCCACCTGTTTCTCAGTTTAGCCCATGACCTTTTGTCACAAGGCCTGTACAGACAGCATTAGAACACTGTCTGGCTGTTCTTGCCATTGACTTCTGTTCAGAGCGAGGATCGGTTTTCCATCTCTGACTGTGATCTGCATGTTGGGTTCCTCCCCCCATTTCTAGGTACTACTGTCCAGGAATACCTAGACAGCAATGGCAGACAGCTCCTCGCCCCAGGCTTCTCAATCTAGTGTCCCCCCCGCTCAAGCAAAGCGCAGATCTGAAGAATTGGACATGGGGGGGGGGAAGAAAAAAGCTAAAACCAAACATCTGTCTTCCAAAGATACTTCCAAATCAGCCGGGCGAGAGGCCACAAGGAGACACTTAGCATTGGAGAGAGAATTCTCCAAGGCACAAAGGCTCAGATCCAGTGGGACTGAAACGGTTTCCCCCGCCCCACTGGATACTCCTTTGACAGAACCTCAATTTGAATCATCTCAGGATGCCCCAAGACCTTGGTCTCCTCGGGGGGAAACCGAGCAGGTAGGTCCTCCTCGCTCCTCTCCTTCATCAGCACACCAACCACCTGAGACCAGGTGTGCCTCAACGGAGGTTGGGGTCAGTTCCAGGGACCAAGGGGAAATGTGGTCCCAGGCTCAATTCCAGGCCTTCATGCACCAAGCATTCAGGCAGTTTATGTCATCAACTGAGAGTAGCCAGGTGCAGTCCCATCCTACTCCTCCCGCATCTATTCCCCCACCTCTGGTGGAGCGTGATACTAGACCTAGCTCTGCTGTTTCGGAGACATCCTCACAATTAGGGGAGGAGGGATCAGTGGAACTGGGAGTTGCAGACACTCCCTTGTCTGAGGAGGAGGATCCAGCTCCTGAACAGGTGACCTCTTCCGGGCTTTTCGATCCGGCCATTTTTCGGTCAGTCCTCGTAAGGGCTATTGACACGGTAAAACTTACCTCAGCCCAGGAGGAGACTCCTTCTTCCTCATCCAACCGGGAAGCCAACCCTCTGTTTGCGGAAAAGGTCAAGGAGGAACCGCAGATTCCATGCCCACTAGTCTTCAGGTCTACGGTGGAAAAGCAGTGGGCATCCCTTGCTACCACTCCTTCACAGAGCAGTTTAGACAAGAAACTTTACAATGTCTCTTCTTCTTTCGCTTCTCTTCTAGAAGTCCCATCTGTAGACGCTCCGCTGACCTCTCTGTTCTCCAATACCGCTGTCCCGGGGGACATGGCTGAATTCTTGAAGGCAGAGGACAAAAAGTTCGAGTTCTCTTTTCGTAGAGCTCACCAATCTTCGGCTTGGGCAATAAGGGCGGCAACCTCATCCTCCTTCTTTGCACGCTCGGCAATTATGTGGTTGCAGGAACTCCAGATGCTCATTCCGCCGGATCAGGTCAGAGCGCACCAAACAATAGGGAAAATAGTGGCAGCATCCGAATACATTGCGGATGCATCCTTACACTCGGCTAGATGTTCAGCCAGATCCATTGCAGCCTCAGTGGCATCACGTAGGCTGCTCTGGTTGAAGCAATGGCGCACGGATTTAAAGGCAAAGTGGCGCTTAGCAACATCTAGGTACAGTGGCACCCACCTTTTTGGTCCGGTCCTAGAGCCTCATATCATTGAGGGCAAGGACAAGCGCAAGGCGCTGGCCCATCCCTCTAAAAAACCAGATAGACGGCCCCAACAGGACTTCCGTAGGCCATCATTCCGTCCCAGCGGTTCCTGGGATTGGAGACAGCCCTTTCGGGCAGGGCAGTCCTGGGATTGGCCCACAGGCTCGCGATCCTATTCTTTCAGACAGGATCGGCAACAGGACCGCCAGAGTAGTGCAGCCAGGGGTCAGTTCCAGACCAAGCGTCCCTTCAGGGGATCAGGCAGTCGTCCTTACAGGCGGTCCAAGTGACGCCAAGGAGGACTACCCCATTGGGGGTCGACTGGCACTGTTTTACGACGTTTGGGAAAACACAACCACAGACGCCTGGGTCAGAGAGACCATAAGACAGGGTCTCTCCCTAGAGTTTCGATCTTCTCCCCCAGATCGTTTTATACAGTGCCCGGTTTCAAACAATACATCAAAAACACAACTAATCACAACAGCCATCGCTCATTTATTAGAGATCAGAGCCATAGAAAGGGTTCCTCAGGAACAGATCGGAGAGGGTTCTACTCCATCCTGTTTGTAGTTCCCAAAGCCTCAGGCGGTTGGAGGGCGATACTGGACCTAAAGGGTCTAAATTACTTCCTCATTTACAGGAGGTTCAAGATGCAGACCCTAAAGTCCATCTTGGCAAGTATCAGGAAGGGGGATTTCCTTTCCTCCATCGACCTGACAGAGGCTTACTTACACATTCCGATCATCCAGGAACACCGCAGGTTCCTGCGGTTCTGTTACGCACACAAACACTACCAGTACCGGGCTCTTCCCTTCGGCCTATCCTCGGCCCCGAGGGTCTTCACAAAAATCTTGGCCGTGCTGGCGGCTCATCTAAGGATGATACCCGTACGGGTACAGTGCTACCTGGACGACA